AAAAAAAAAACTTAAAAGAATAAAAATAAACTTTGCAAAATGAAATCAGAAATGACAAGGCACAAGGCAAGTAAATATTAACTGAACATCTGAATATAATTCAAAAACATGTATTTATGGAAGTAAATAATATACATTTTACTCTCTTAAACCTATGGTCAGCTGAACAATGTCCTCCAAAAGATAACCACATCCTTATGCCCAAAACCTGCAGTGTTTGTCAGCTTACTGGCAAATAAACTTTTCAGATATGATTAAGTTAAGGGTGTTGAGATGTCGGATTATCCTATATAATCTAGGTGAGCCTAGTGTAATCATAAGAATACTTACAAGAAGGAGGCAAGATGAACAATGTCAGAAAAGGTGATGTGAAAATGGAAACGATGTAAGAAAAGGCAGTGTAACTTGGGACAGAGTGAAGTAATGAGGATAGCCTTTAGAAACTGGAAAAGGCAAAGGAAGCAAATTCTCCCCCAGAATGTCCAGAAAAACCAGCCCTACGAACACCATAGTTTTAGGACAGTAAAACTGATTCTGACTTGTGACCTCTAGAATTATAAGAGAATAAATCTGTGTTGCTTTAAGCTACTGTATTTGCGGCAATTTGCTACAGCAGCAAGACAATAGTAATACAAACCCTGATAGATGCCATATCCATTCTATGTTTATTTAAAAGGAAAAGATTAAAACATTTTAAAAAGTTAAAATTTTGAAAAAAGATTTCAAGTCATATATATTTCTCAAGTTTAGAGAAACAGCTTAATTTTAACAAATGACTTCTCGTGATGTTTCCAATCTCTACGCCTTACTGTTATTTCACCTTTATTTTACCCTGGATAATAAACAGGATCTTCCAAAATGATTCTAAAACATTTGTATAATTTTTTAAAATCACTAAAAACTGATTCTCTAACTACAACAATACATTTTCTCTAATCCTCACTGGGAACCTGAATAGCCCCTGATATGATTTGGCTGTGTCCCCACCCAAATCTCAAACTGTAGCTCCCATAATTCCCACGTGTCATGAGAGGGGCCTGCTGGGAGGTAATTGAATCATGATGGTGGGTCTTTTCTGTGCTGTTCTCGTGGCAGTACGTAAGTCTCATGAGATCTGGTGGTTTCATAAGGAGGGATCCCCTGCACATGCTCTCTCTCTTGCCTGCTGCCATGGAAGATGTGTCTTGCTTCCCCTGCACCTTCCACCATGAGTGTGAGGCCTCTCCAGCCATGTGGAACTGTGAATCTAAACTTCTTTCCTTTCCCCTGCCCTCTTTCCAGTCCATCCCGTGGCACCAGCACCACGCTCTTCTATTCTTTTTTCAAGTCGGTTGTGGAACTCAAGAATGACCTGAGCATCTGTGGAACGCTCTATTCTGTGGATCAGTATCTCAACATCAAACTAACTAATATCAGTGTCACAGACCTTGAGAAGTATCCTCACATGTTATCAGTGAAGAACTGCCTCATTCAGGGCTCAGTGGTTGCATACATGCAGTTGCCAGCAGACGAGATACACAAACAGTTGCTACAGGATGCGGCAAGGAAGGAACCCCTGCCGCAGAAACAGTGATGGCTCCTCCTCCTCTTCCCCTTCCTCTTTCACTGGTGACCCCAAGTCCCAGCCTGAGCCCCTAATGCCCAATACTTGAAGAGGTTTTATTTGTTTTTTAACTAATGATGGTTTTGTGGGGTTTTTTAAGGGATGAGTGGATGAGAGGAATAATAGAGAACAGCTATCCTCTGTTGAGAAGGTGAGAAAAAGTAGGCTGGGAAACTTCAAAGCCTTCCAATCCCCAGCACCTGCCTTTCTCGCTACTTTCCTGTAGACAGTGGAAGAGTTTCCTAGGTCTTTCCAGGGCAGCATGTGATTCATTTGGGGATGGAAGGAATCTGTCCCACATCGGGAATAAAATTTATGATGCAGGGAAAAACAAAACAAGACAAAACTCTTTCCTTTATAAATTACCCGGCCTTGGGTATGTCTTTATTAACAACGTGAAAACAGACTAATACAGCCCCCTGCCAGTTTTATTTATTATTTAAATATCTGTTCGTGGAGTCCTCCACTGCAAGTAGGAACGCTTCCCTTAAAAGATGACTATTTGTTTGTTTTTATGCTCTTAGAACCACCCAAGATCAAGTTCTTATGACCATAAGGCCTTTTTTTCCTTTCCCTTTGCTTGTCCCACACAGTTGCCTTTAGTCTTGTTGCTGTTAGTCATTCAGCCGCTCACACAAATATGGGGGGGGACTTATGGTGACACTGTCACCTTGAATGCTGAACATGCTGTCTATGGAATTTTTTTGTTCTTATTGTTGTTGTTTCCACGTGGTATCCTCATTACTATGTCTGCTTCTGTGAGACATTTTGGCCAGATTATAAAACTACATCACAAGACCTCCTACTTCTACAAAGATAGAATGTACTGACTCTGCAGAAAAGAGTTAACATAGATTTAAACATAAAATCTCAAACTATTAAACTTTTAGAAAAAAAAAATAAAGAAGAAAACCTTTGAGATCCAGGACTAATAGCATATACTGACTCTGCGGAAAAGAGTTAACATGTAGATTTAAATGTAAAATCTCAAACTATTAAGCTTTTAGAAAAAAACAAACAGAAGAAAATCTTTGAGATCTAGGACTAGGCAAAGACTTCTTAGACTTAACACCAAAGCACCAACCACAAACCTTAAAAGAAATAAAATGGACTTTT